AGAAAGGAAGGAAGGAAGGAAGGAAGGAAGGAAGGAAGGAAGGAAGGAAGAAAGGAAGAAAGGAAGAAAGAAAGAGAAACTTGCTCAAAGTAGCACCTTTCTACTGGGACAGGTGTGTGTGAGCGCTCAGTAAGAATTGTTTCTGTTTTTATTTTCCAGGCACACAAAAGCCTGGCAGAAACAGTGAGAGGCCTGCAAATGTCCCCCAAGTCACCAGAAGAGATGAAGTGGCCTCTACAAGTGTCTGTCCCTCTTCTACCTTCACTGTCATTTTTGACCCTGCCCAGCTCTGCATGCACACTTGGTACATTGAGGCACGTTTGGTCCAGCACTCCATTACAGGGTTAACTACCACAGGGCTAATTTAACCAAGACTTCCCTGGCTCCTCCCCTACCTCTTTGGAGCTTTGTCAAGGCACCTACTAGCCACAAGGACAGAGAACCCCCCCCTACCCCCACCCCAAAGCAGGAGCAACAAAGGGGGGAGTTTCTCAATATCTTCTCAGAAGGTTCATTAGTACTTTCTCCTTTTGTAAGCAGATAAAGTCTTCTCAGTTCTCTTATTCTTGTTTTAGTTGTGACTACTCACTCCCCACCCCCAGGCTGAGGCAAGGAAAGTACCCAGTCCCCATTCTTCAGCCCCTCAGTCAAGCCTTGCACTGACCTGGTCCTGTGCTGCAGCCCGGTGCTAACGTGGGCATGGTGGGCCTCTTGATGGGGTTAGTTCACAGAAAGGCTGTTCCAGGAAGGACTGCCCTGCCCTGCCCTGCCCTGCCCTGCTCCTGGCCAGCTGTGCAGCCCTGATAGGAGCCCTCTTCTTCCCAGCTGGAGCCTGTGCAGTGTTGAGCAAAGCAAACCCCCTCCCCGACCCCTTCCGATAATTTCAGGACATCTTCAGGGCAGGGAGGGAGAGAGTGAAAATGCTCCTTCTAAGGGGTCCTTGATGACCTCTCAGGGTCAAGTTGAAGCCCCTTTAGTCAGCACTCCAGGCCTCAAGCCTGCTGCATCCCCTCCCTCCCTCCCCCTCCCTCCCTCCTTACCTCCCTCCCTCCTCCCTCCCTCCCAATCATTCCCTGATCCTATCATAACACCTTCAAGTCCATCCTGTCTCAGTGACCATGACACTTCCATGTCTTTGCTGTGGCTGGCCATGTAGTGACTTTCCCACTCCACAGTGAGACACTTCTGTCCTTCCTGCCCCTTCATCTGCCCACAGCGGCCATGGCACCTGGCTCCCACTGTAGAGACGCCCACCCCATCCCACAGGTAGGCAGTGGCCTCTGGAGTCAACAGCACAGGTGGATGTATCCATCCGTTGAAAACACAGGTTCCTGGTGGGCAGAGTGGAGCCCAGCGCTGGCCCATTTACTCTGAGACTGAAGCACTGGGTGTGAGCCTAAAAAGCCACATTGGTGGCACAAACCTCGAACCCCATCACTCAGGAAGCTTAGACAAAAAGATGGTGAGATTAGAGCCAGACTGGGTTATGTGGGGAAACTGGGATTTCTAGGGAGACACCGTCTCAAAAAAGTAAGTTAAAGTTAGCCCGCGGCTCTGCACAGTCAGAGCACCCAGGACTGTTCCTGCCTTCTGCCTCCATCCCACACACACTGATAGCAGGAGTCGGGGAGATGTAAGCCTGTGATCCAGCCGACCAGTCTGGAGCCCTTGGCACATCACCCCAGTACTGGGCCCTCAGTTTCCCTCACAGGACCTGAAACAGAGCTGGTGCTCACAAGGACGACTGGATGAGAGCTCTTTGCGCTGTCTGCATCTCAGGAGCCAGACTTAGTCCCTGTCAGACAATCAGGGAGGCAGAGCCAAGACTCAAACTGAGAGAAACATTCTGACATGTGGCACTTATAATCCCCCTTTTTGCTTATGGTTATAATGGGGTCATTTTTTCCCTATAATTTCCCTTCCATCAAGTCTTGCCCCCCACACACACCAGGATTGACATTAAAATTAACTCAACAGCCAAACAAACCAGATAAATTCCCATGAGCAGTGAGCAGTGATGAGAACCTTCTAATCAGAGTGTGGAATAGACCAGAACATGATGTCTCCAACAGTCTTGGATAGTCACCTGGATGGTTCTCGCTTGGTAGGTTAGGGCAAAGAGATCTTGAACCCTAGAAACTCCACCACATCTGAAGATCTGCTACACAACAGCTCCGCTTGACTAGTGGCATCCAAAGCCAAGTCTTCCAGGATGTCCCGCCCCCAGCACAGGGATTGACAGCTCAGTCTAATCTTTGGCAATGATAGCCAAGGAGATCCTAACACAAAGGAAACAACCCTGAAACCAGGGAGCAAGTCAGGCAGAATGCAACGCCATCTAGTGGATGGTGGAAGGATCAGCAGCCAAAGCATCTGGCCACCATGATCACCCTGTCCCAGCACATACTGGCACAGACAAGCTGAATTCGGCCCCAGAACAGGCATCCACCTCTTTGAGAATGTAGAAAGGGACAGGGACCTCCAAACTGAGCATTTGACATAGGGATTCTAAAGCACTTAAACAGTCACCCCAGACTAACCTATCAGGACTACAAAACACAGAAAAGAAAACCATATCCCTCTCTGATAGTCCTGCACGACCGTCTGGGAGTGGTAAGGGCAGCCATTGCTCCCAGCCACCACAGCCTGGCCATCAGTCTCATTCAGAGAACTGTCCTGTCTTTGCTCAGATGGGATGTCATGTCTCCAAATTTGTCTGCTTCAGGGGTTAAAGTATAAACATGACAGGATCTAAATTACGACTGCTGAACTTTTGTGAGGCCGTGCAGATAATGCCGCCCTCGGTTTGATGCACATATAATGGAGCATCAGACACATTGGCTGAGTGAACACAGCAGCTTTGGGATTCTGATTTTGAACAGGACGGGTTATCAGCCCAAGAGGCTGGAGTCCACCTCAAGACTGTTGAGTGCTGCGCATGAGGCTGGATGGTACTAGTGAGCTTTAGCCAGAGAGAGGATCCAGTCTCACATTCGGCAGACTCAAATAGGAGGGAAGAAGGGCTGGGGAGCCACCCCACTAGACAGCTCTGCAGCATGTGCCCACACTCCTCAGTTACCAAAGAGGGTTGGCTGATGTCACTGTCATCCCACAGCATGGCCTTGAAATTCATGGCCCTGGCTGCTATGACTGGAAATGGAGACTGCAGTGGGATATTGGCAGAGCCTGTAAACCAACAGTCTGGGATTACTTGTGTGGACCTTAAATCCAATGCCAAGTGTCCTTTTTAAGAGACCCACAGAAGGGGTTGACAAGATGCCTCAGTGAGTAAAGGCTGCCAAGCCTGATGGTCTGAATTTGACCCCTGGGATGCTCCTCCTCCAAATTGTCCCTTGACCCATAAAAGCATATGTATACACACACAACACAGAGATTGAGGGTGGGGGGAGCTGTGTACACACACACATACACACAAAAAGAGGGATAGAGGGAGAGGAGGCAGGAGAGAAGGCTCAGTAGCTTAGAGTACTTGTCTTGCAAAGGGCTGGCGATCACAAGCATATGTGACTCCAGTTCAGGCAGGAATCCAACACCCTCTTCTGACCACCAGTCATGCAAATGAAACACAAGCAAACATGCAGACAAGACATTAACATATAAATCATCATTTTTGATCCTTAAAAGTATTTTAAAGATGGGGGAAGAAGGTTGCTTGAAGACAAAGCAGATACTGGACTGGTGCTGGTCCAAGCCATGGGAGACATGGACCCACTAGATTCTCCTGCAGAGAACTCCTCAGCTTTGAACTTGAGAGCAGCTCGAGTTCTGTTGTAAACTATCTGGTAATGCTACAAGAACTCTAGGAAAGGCAGAACCAATAGAGGCTGGTCTAGGAAGTAGGACTTGTCACTCTTTTTACTCAGGAGGGGAATGAAGCATCCATGAAGTTAGAGCAAAGATTCCCATCTCCATCCTCCACACTGGATGCCCCTGCAGGTCCCACACCAGGCTCTGGGAGCCTGGCATGCACCTGAATCCTCTGGAGGGCTGGTGGCATCCTGGATCCAGACTCCCTGAGGCAGCAGGTCTTCAGTGGTTATAAGGTTGGACTCTCAGAGGGCAAGAGCGATGGTTCAAGTTGTTAAGAGCACTGGCTGCTCTTCCAAAACTCAGGTTCGATCCTCAGCACCCATGTGGTGGCTCACAGCTACCTTTAACTCCAGTTTCAGGGAATCTGATGCCTTCTTCTGACCTCCATGGAGACCAGATACATAAGTGACTAACATAATAGCTATACATGCAGGCAAAACATTCACACAATAAAAACAAAGACACACACACACACAAAAAAATCAGATGCTGCTGCAGCCACAATGGGGTTCCACACAGAACTGCTGGCTCAGCCAGGCCAGTTCGTACCTCCAAATCTTCATCACAAGACTTGACAAGAGAAATCAACACTGCAGTCCATTACAGTCAAGGGCTGGAGCCCCTTTCTTGCTAAGAAGCACAGGGCAGAGATTCCAAGCCCAATGCTGCAAATAAATCCGAATAATGTAAAGCAAAAGATGCAGAAGCACACTCAGGAACGGATGAAGGCGAGTGTGTGTCAACCTAGCAGGATGCAGGTCTGCTCTGGGCCATCAGACTGAGTCTGACAGAGTCTTGACTCCCAGGCCTTCTGATTTCCCCCTAGCGCTAGCTTGGTCTGGCACAATCCAGTGTTTTGTTTCCTGTAGCCTGGGGCTTCTCCACCACAGCTGGTGTAGAGTTTGCTGTGCACACTGCACCCCTCCCCAGCTTCTGCACACCACCCACTTCTCCCCACTTTCTGCCTCTAGAACTGCAGCATCTCCTCCAGAACCTCCTTCCTCCTAGAGGAGAAAGGCGAGACCAGCCTGTGGAAAGAGAGGCCTACCTGAACTTGCCCTGGACCCATGGCTGCCCAGCGTCTTAGCCTGCATGGAGGAAGGAGGCTCCCGATTCCTAGGGCTGTGAGCCCCTACCGCTGCCCAGGATGTCTCAGAGCCCTCTCAAACTGCTAAGCAGAGTCAAGTATGGTCTCCTGTGACAGCCCAGCCCTTCCAGGCCTCCTTCTGCTGTGGACAGACACCCAGACACCAGAGAGTAGGACATGGTACTCTTTATTGTGACGCTCAGTGGAAACATTTGTAAACCAGCTTACTGTAGTGGTGACAGCTGCGACACATGCTAAGGCACTTGTATTATATAAAAAAAAGGGGTGTGGGTCCCACTCACTCCTTTGTGACAGCAACTGGGACCTGAATTCAGAGCTTTTCTAGCATATGTAGCTTTCATGATTTGACTGTTTTTCCTTTAAAAAAAAAAAAAAAGCCTTCTTGCCATAAGAGGATCTAATCACAGCATTTACAAAACAGTGAGGAGCGCAGGGAGATTCAGCGACCAGTGTAGACCATTGTAGGACAGGCTACTCTCTCTAACATAGTTCCAGGGAAAGGCTGTGAAAACACCCACAACTAGAGCACTTACTACAAGAAGGGAAAAAAATAAATCTTTTTTTTTCTTTCCAAAGCATCCACGTGGAAGGCAGACTTGAAGCTCGAGTGGGTGGCACAGCTCAGCCGCCCTCGGCCCCAGGCCTAGGTGAGGCAAAGAGTGCACAGTGGGCCCAGCCCTTGGATACTCTGGCTGCCGGACCCTGCCAAGTCCCTTAACCATTAAATATATTTGGTCCCCTAGAGTGCTGGGAGAGGCCACCAGAAGGCTGCTGGCCTTTCTAGAGTGGCCCTGATGCCCTGT